TGATTGACCTGGTTAAAATGATCCAACGAGATAAAATGGTCCAACAGGTTCAAGTGATCCAACTGTTTAAAATAACCCAACGGATAAAGTGGTCCAACTGGTTAAAATGATCCAACTAGATAAACTGATCTATCTGGTTAAAATAATGCAACCACTAAAATGGTCCAGCCGGCCGTCTAAAATGATCTGACTGGTTGAAGTGATCTAACCAGTTAAAATGCTTCAGTTGGTTAAATTGATCCAACTGGTTAAAATGGTCCAGCTGGTTAAAATGATGCAACTGCTGAAATGGTCCAGCTAAAATGATCTAACTGGTTGAAGTGATCTAACTGGTTAAATTGATCTAACTGGTTAAATTGATCCAACTGGTTAAAATGATCCAACCGATTGAAATAGCTCAACTAGTTAAAACGATCCAACCAGTTGAAATGGTTTAAGTGCAAATGATATCTAATTAGTGAAAATGGTCCAACCAGTTAAAATGGGTAACTAGATAAAATTGTCCAACCGTTTAAATGGTCTAAATAGACAAAATGGTCCAAATGCATAAAATTGCTTAACTTGATAAAATGTTCTAACATGGTGAAAATGGTCCTCATTGATAAAATGGTCCAACTGGCTTAAATAGTTTAAGTTGACAAAATGGTCCAATTAGTTAAGATGGCCTAAAATGGTTAAACCACATCAAATGGTCCAACCGCTTAAAATGGTCCAGCTAGATAAAATGGTCCCTCTAGTGTAGATGGCTTAACCAGTGAAATTGATCCAACCAGTGAAGACACTCCAACCGGCCATGGTTAAAATGGTCCTACTAGTTTTAGTGGTCCAACTAGTGAAAATGATTCAAACAGTACAAATGATCCAGCCGGTTAGAGTGATCCAACTAGTCAAAATTGTTCAAGTGGTTATTCAAGTAACTAAAGGGACTGGATCTAATTGATAACATTTTTCCAAGGGGTTAAAAATGGCTAAAAATGGGCTAAAACGATCCAGTTAGCCAAGTATTATATTACTGGTTCAAGTGACTTAGCTGGCTCAAATGATCCAGCCGCTTAAAAAGCTAAACACAGAGCAAGTTTAAAAGATTTAATTTTGCAAGTTTGGAAAGAGTTCCAAAATTAACATGTCCACAGCTCAGTGTAAAACATCTAGTACTTCAAATAATTCCTACGAACATACGCACTTAATGCACGTCAGTTCGCCTTTGCCGTCCCCGAACGATCAAAACTTCATGGTAACGTGGTGCAAGAATTGCACAGCACTTTATATATATGTTTTACTTGACGATAAAAGTTTGAATCCGTACAGAAATCATAACGAAAACATGACAAGTCTAACGAAGAAGTGAATAACGTGTTTCCGCTGCGCAAGTTTCGTGTTTTCCGAATTACGGAGTCATGCTATTTCGTCCTGTGAGCTAGCTGGGCTGTCAGAATCTCTAATGACTGTTGAGAGCTGCAGTTTTTCGTTGTTCCATAAATTTTTGTTAAAAGAGAATCAACAAACAAAGTTGCATAGAAAACATCTCTAGTCTGTGTACGCCTTTCTACCTGTCCCACGGTAGGAGGGATTTAATCGCACAAGCTTCGAACTCAGTTCTGTATTTTCGCCAACATGATTATATGCTAAAAAATAAATTAAGTGGAAGAAAACCGTCCCTACTTCAAGAGCGAACAGACCGGGGTGTCTTTATCTTTAATAAAACTTTCCAAAGCTCATTTGCGATAACTATCATATGAGTACAGTTCCGCGACGGAAACATGCAAGAAATTTATTTCTAAGAAGTTCCAGTTTGTTTCCTCTGGCGTCATAAAGATGTTACATCCAACGGAACACTGGCGGAAACATGCAGAAAAGTGGTCCGGTTCCGCTGTTTCCGTAGCGATGGAAACATGAGTAAACGTCACGATTCTGTCGACGAAAACACGTGTTAAACTTTACGTTTCTGCAATGAAAACAAAGGTTTCCGCAGCATTTCCGGAAGTTAGTTTTTCGTCCTGTGTAATTTACATGAAAAATCAAGACGGATGAAATTTTGGCAGTGCGTGTTATCTGTAGCTAATT